TCCGCATTGTCCAAAGTGCACCAAGCAAGCAATCAATGTTACTCCTTTGCACAAGTAGAACTTAAACTCAATTAAACAACTCTGCTTGTATTGAATGATCATTCATGCAACCAGTACACTCCGCTCAGCTCAGCTCCTTATATACCTTAAGCCCATTCATTCACATCACACACCCCTTATGTCACCACTGCCTACACTGCCACGGCGGAAGCTTGATAAAGATTCATGTTTGCAGAGATCGTTGGTATTTATGTGACATGCAGACAACAAGTCACGTCTGCCGCATATTGCAATTACTCCTAAACCTAGACAGATGATGCCCCTCAGACGTTATGAGTATCAGAGGAAAGACCTTTCCAACTTTTCGTTCGTCTTGTTTTAAACACGAACGTTTTAGTTACAAAATTTGTGTAATCAGTTGCCAAATTGAAATAAATTCAACAAAGTGTTTGAATTTCCAAACGGGAAACAGATAACATGCGACGCGAAAAATCGAGGGAGGCTACCGAAACTTATAAATAAAAAAAGAAGAACAATTATAAAAAAACAAATCTATCAATGGAAAAAATCTTGCTAGAATATGCATATTACAATGTTGTATAAGGGGCGCAATACAACGGTATACGGACACTCCACTAATGCACCTCTGTACATCAAGCGGACAAGTTGAAGTCATCCAACTGTATCCTTGGATTTTGGAATAATATAAAGGTATGGCACCGTTAGTTGATCATTGGAAGTTCTAGTTTCTGAACGTGGAAAGTTGTTTTTATTTGTACGATACTTTTCTTCATATGCAAATACATGCAATTGCTTTTAGAAGATCCGTGCGAACATCCTTACACACAATGACGTTAAGTTCTTGCAGGAGTTCCAGGTCCTTCCAACAGTCCCGAGTCAGTCCCGAGTCTACCGTCTAACCAGGTCTAACTGATCATAGCATGTTATGCGGAGCACAGTGCAGGGCATCTAGACAGATCTAGACTGGATGCTCTAGTATAGAGTCTAGACCTTCGAAAATTCCCTTTGCATTTGCCTTTGATGTCATCTCATTGCAAATACCAATTAATTACCAAAAGGGGGCACTGGCCACTGATGACGTGCGACGAGAGACATCGAGTGAAAATAAAATCCAGTCGGAACGAGCCACGTTAGTGAAAATCCTTTCGACGGTCTCGGATTCCCTTAAAAACTCATCTCCTCCCTCCTGCAATTCAAATTCCTCAATCCCTATTCAAACTTCCCTCTCCCTCTTTATTATTCAACCATCCTCGTCTATCCTCAAATTCTTGTCGTCAATTCCCTGTTCACAATCCACACTGACACAGTCAATAATTGATTATCCCAGTTGATCTGTCTGGTCACCATATTGTCTCGACTATCGAGTCATTGGGGCATTCACCACATCAGTTCATATACCGATTCTTGTTTCCACGATTGTTGGATCAAGAGGACAATTAAATTAATAAATTAAATTATTCGTCAAAGGTAATTGTTCCTTCTTTTTTTGATCTCTTACGTTGCAGCTTCCATATCACCAAGACTCCGCGAATATCTTGACTCCAGATCTGACACTTCTTTTCTCTTCAATAGTGTGATTCTTCTGCGGCGTCTGCTGTAGATAAAATCCAAAATAAGCTTTAGAAGCTCATTACCGATTAGCATCAACAAGCTCAGCCTTTAACTTGTGTCGTTGCTCAAACGGCTCCCCGTTGACGTCCCATTTATCCCAATTAGTCGATTCATCTTCAATTGCCCTAATTTCTAGAATCTTCTACAATCGGATCTTTGAAATGCTGGCTCTGGCAGACGGAATAATGTACCGCAGCTCGCCTTTAAGCGGATTCAAACAAATTCTGCTCATATCTATTGTACTGTCCGCGTTATTGGTCCCTTCTATTGCTCAATCTACGTGGCAAGACGTCACCCAGTTCCATCCCTACTGCGTTCGAATGTTCAGAACCTGTGTCGAAACATCGCATAGTCCCAAGGATGGGGTAGATTACAGCGTAGCTGTTGGCATTTGCGGGAACAAAATGGCTATCTGTACATTTTCAAACACCCTTACTTGGCCTTGGTCAAGTGGCTCGAATCAAGGCCGCCCTCAATCTATTTCGGTCGATGCAACCACAAGATTGACCAGGTATAGAAATACCGTGACATCCCCATCTCAGCCGAGTTTTTTACATTGGGAAAACTTGACCGAGTTTTTACCAGATTGCTTGGCAGAGTTCAGGCGCTGCTGTGTCGATTTTGAGATCGTTCCATCCGATCCAATACTGGGACTGTGTGGCCGTGGAATGAGTATATGCACAGAAGCACAAGGAAGATGGCCTTATGGGGAGGACAGTTCTACATATTGGTTTCTGCCATACACTGCAGGCAATGTACAGGCGTATCGGCGGGCCTATCTTGGGAATTTTAGCAGCAGCCCCAGAAATTGGGAGGGCATGACGGTCTTCCATCCAAGGTGTAGGGCTTTAATGCTCCAGTGTGTGGCAATCTCCGGGGGATTATCGAGCAATGCTGCGATTAGCAATTGCGGAAATCAAATGGGAATATGTTCGTTCGAGAACGTTTTCTGGCCCCACACCAACGATAGGTCTTTCGCATACATGGAGCCGTATGACGCAAGACTACAAAGATACACAAATATTCTCAATCCGATCTCCGACTGGGAAGGTGTGACGAAGTTTTCACAATTCTGCAGTGACAAGTTCTTTCAATGTGTTTTCGCGTCCGGAGGACCATCAATAGTACAAGCGGTTGGCACATGTGGGAATCAAATGTCCCTTTGTACGTTCAACGACAATGTTTGGCCCGATGCAGATAAAATTCCTAGAACTTCTGAATCATACGATTTCAGACTAGGAATCTATCGTAACTTGTTTCGACACATGGCGGCTGATACACTCACTTACACTACCTTCCCTGTTATGCTTAATAGTACTATTCTCAGAAGACGTCATCAATCTGCACTAAAAGCCTTGTTGCCACGTTCAACTTTGACACTGCGATTTCGAGCAACAAGGGATGGGTGGTCATCTTCAACATTTCGCGACTTATGCGATGGAGTTTCACCACATTTCGCCGTCTTTCATACCACCAACAACTTTATATTCACCGCGTATGCAGAAGTTGCATTCACAAGGTCAAATATGGGTTGGAGAGCTGCTCCATCAGGATCATCTTGGTTGAATAACCTTGAAAGTGGTTCTGGATCAATCAGTACAACTCAATTTCTCAATACAAACTCTCCACAACATACTGTGTTTGATGTGAACAGTCAAGGACCGGCCTATGGAGGGGGCTACGATGTATCAATTGGTTTTACAATGACCTCAGGAAGCAGTCATCCACATTCATACGCCGGATTAACATGGACTGCTTTAGCCGGGGCAAGTTCATTTACTTTAAAGGAGATCGAATTTTATGCTGTACAGAAATAAAATTAGTAATTGTACCGTCGCATTGTCACGAGACCGTATTAATGGTGTAAGCTCTTCTTTAAGACAACAAATAAATGCCAATAGTTATTGCGGGTTTCACGACTGGTTTCAAGACTGATTTTGAGCGATGGGATATGCGACTCGTAAATATGAAAATACTTGCTGATGCTATGTTATTTGCTCGCAATATAACGGACAACAGGATACGGACAATCTATCGACCTGGGTTGTAGTCTGTCACGCAATCACAGATCAATTGATAGAAATGGTTCTGACACAATCCGAATAACGGAATTAAGGACTTGGGAGCTGCAATTATAGTAAACATATCGACTGATCGTCACAGTTTCTGGATCAGGAATGAAAAGTATCGGTATGTATTTCAGTCGGTATACGTATCTACCACAACAACTGAATATAAAGCAAATCGCTTTTGGCACTTTCAAAAAACAAACAGTTCACAGTTAGAGATAACTGCAATCTTCATTCATTTCAAGTATTGATATCCCAAGTTCTCTTACACCATGATATTCTCCGTATATACATACACATTTTCGTTCTTTATGGCCTGATGAATTATACCCGTTGATGAATTTACCCCTATTTTACCCTTTTGAAAAGTTTATATAGTACATAGTATCAAACTGAATCGAGTGTTTGTATGGAATTAAATCCGGAGAGTCTTACGATTTCTCTAACGTTTCCATCATAATCACACTGTTTCCTCGAATAACCTAAGCACAACAACATAAAACGTATCGAAACAAAGCAAAAGAACAGAAATAAACAAGTCATTAGTCATATCCATGTCAAACAACAACATTCCGTCCTACATCACCCAACCAAACCAAAACAAACAAAAACCAAAAGAAAGTCAAACATACCACCATCCCGATATCATGTTTCTCATTTGCACTTTCTTCGACCGCATCATCCAACACCAAATTCATAAACGGATCAAACCCTCTTAATGTACCAACAACGTTACGGTTTCCATTCAACTGTAGAAACAATTTCTTGTCCATATACTTTTTCAGTTCCGGTTGTGTAGCTTTACTCATGATTCTGTATCTTTTAAATCCTTGATGGGAAGTGAAGAAGAGTGTATATAGGTGGAGACGTTGGTTTACTGGATTGACTAGATCAACAAAAGCGTGAGATTATGTTCCCTTGATCAACGGAATCGATTAGAGTGACTAGACGCAAGATGATACAAACAACTTCAAAGCGGCAATCGAGGGTACCTGAGGAATGTAGACTTAGATTCAATGTAATGAACCGATGGATGGATAGTTGGATGGATGGATGGATACTTGAGGATGCGAGGACCAGGATTGAGGCGGGCTACTGGGTGAGCTGTCAACTGAGATAAAGGACTGTCGCGATGTGCGGTTGAGTTCTAAACAACAAGGAATTAAATAATGCTTACTTCATCGTCATTTTTACTTTTTCTTTTTTTAAATGTTTAGTTGAAGTAATTACTTCAATAGTTTCACAATCTTTAAAATTAGAAATAGTATGTATATAAGTTTGAGTGCGAGTTTCACACAAGCAAAGTTGGTTTAGTGGTATAATTACCGCCTGCCAATTACCATTGGTATACAGCTCGCGGTAGACCCGGGTTCGATTCCCGGACTTTGCATTTTATTTTTCGATTTTGTATATTGCACACGAAAAGCTTCTTTGTCGGTCATGTCTGCTCTGTTCGGTGCATTTATCCCCAGAGATAATTTGGCAGCCCCAGCGGTGCGAAGTGAACTTTTTTCATTCAGGATGAAAGCATATCCGAAAAAGATACATGCAAACTTGAAAGCATCCGAAACTCGCACCAAGCTCAACACAAACGACCTTGGAGAACAGAATCCAATGATGATATAACCCTCTTAACTTGTCGGGAATAGGTTTTTATTCGTTACACATTCATGATTACACAACAAAACGTCCGTCTAAGCTAAAAGAGAAGCAATATACAACACATATAATGTGAAATTTTTTCTTTTACTTGAGGGGGATGAAACGGGAAGAGTGGGTAGCACCGATACCTATTAACATAAATCACGAAAAGAAGCATAACGAAGTGTGTATGAGTATCAAGTGAAAAGAGTACAGTTATACATGATATCGGAGAACGGAAACGTACCGGGTCTACCGTGCTTGACGGGCTTGTATGTGATACTGAATTCTCCCAAATAGTAACCAACCATTTCAGGCTTGATTTCAACTTGGTTAAAAGTTTTACCATTGTAGACACCAACGACGGAACCAATCATTTCAGGAACGATGATCATATCACGGAGATGAGTCTTGACGACAGCGGGCTTTTCGTTGACGGGAGCTTCTTTCTTGGCTTTTCGGAGTTTCTAATCATATCAAATCGGCGTAATGGTGAGCATAATCCACCTCGAATGTATAACTTAGTCGCAGGTATCTTTACCTTGATCAAACCCATGGGCTTGCGCTTCAAACCACGTTGGAATCGTCTGCGAGCACGGGCGTGGATAAGATCCATCAACTGTAATAATCACAAAGAGACAACAGAAGTGACAACAAGGGAGATGATAACGGTTAGCGATATTTTTAAATCCACCAAGTTCCTCATACATCCCAACATTTGCCAGCACTCCTTCTTTCCCTCGCCATCGTTTCAATAATAAGATATTTTAACATACTTGTTCGCTGGATAAATCCAAGAGTTGTTCGAGGTCAATACCTCTGTAAGAGAACTTTCTGAATGTTCTCTTCTTCTTAAGTTCAGCAGCAGCAGCGTCATCAGCCTAGAGTAAAACAAATACATGTTCGAAGTAGAATAACAAAAATCAATGATGTCAGAATTCCAATCAATTGATGCAGCGATTCCTCAAACTCTCTCAAATCCGTAAACAGTCATGATAACAACTCATTCCGAACGGAAAAGGGTCCCCTACAACGTTCAAAGCCAACAACATAGAACCTCGACACCACCAAAAAAGGCTCAAAAAAACTATCCATCCATCGACAAGCATCTCATCTACTCCATCCAATCCAGCAATTCTTCAAAAAAGACGGTCAGTGGAGTCTAAAAATACATACCATGTTGATTAGATGTGTACTTTCTTTATATAAAAATCAAAAGATGTAAAGTACGAAAGGGAAGAACCAGTCGGTGGGCGGATGGAAATTTTGTTGATTCCTCCTCTCGTCACGTGTTTTTCTGATCACTTTACCCGTTTCTTTTTGAGTAGATACTAGAAATCGAGCGTGTGTGGCCAAGAGAGACCTAAAGTAAATATGAGTACGAAAATCTACAAGTACTACTAGGGACGTTAAGCATATGATATTGCTCTACACATCGGCTTTATCTTTAGTGATGGACTAACTTTTCATGATAAGTTGGAATGTCGTCGCAGCCAGAATGGAATTGAAAGGAAAAAAGAATAAATTAGTACAGAATTTACTTTAACACTCCATTACCGTTCATATTTAAACTTCGATATTGTATGAATGTGACAAAACGTTTCTTCAGTTATCTCTTGGGTCGCGTCAGACAAACGAGCAGTAGCCGGTAAATCCCCTGTAATTCCTGTGTTCCTTTGGAGATACAAAATACAAGATCTACATATTTTTGTTATACACGTCCTCTAAATCCCGATTGATGATGGGGATGCAGTTTAAGTACGTTGCTTGAGATTTTTTATTTCTTCACACTCCCATGTAGCGTTTCACAATGCCCATTACTTCGCCCCCACAAAACCTACCCAAACCACCAAGCCTTGTTTCAATTTCATTAAACTTCCTCACAGAATCAATTAATTTCCCATTGACTATCCTCATATTTCCAATTTTTCTTCTCTTATTATCAGAGTCTAAATCCGTAGGCGCTCCGTCATTTGTAAGCTTATCGGAATTCAGGATATTACTGAGAGTCGCAACGACGAAAGGAACGGGTTCGTAAGAGTGGTCTCCGTATACAACAGGTGTAGAATGGTCACCAGTAAGGACAATTGTGTACTAATTGGAAAATGGTAGAATTCAGGAACAAGTTAGAAGACCTTGACAGTAAGCTATTGGGAAAATAATAGGATACTATTCATTCGTACCTCAGTTTTATCACCGTTTCGAACTTTATCTGCTAATGCCTTAATCACATTTCCAATCATCTTATCAATCTTTTCCAGGAACTGAACCTGAAACAATATCAAAATTTCAGTTGAAAACTTGAAAATTGAAGTATGGAAAAAGAATAACAACCTTCAAGCCAATATTCTTGTCATGGCCTGCGTCATCGACAGCTTTCATATGAACGAATCCGAAATCATAGTGATTTTCTATTAGCGGGGGCGAAAGAGCCGTTAGATTTGGATGAGTTGGATCCACCCAAATTATACGAACAACTACTGCGTGAAGAACTTGCCTGGATTGGTGAGATAGTCTACTGCATATCGTCCTTTCACTTCAAAATCTGTATGATAATCACCGGTTGCCCCCGGAACTTTTATGATATCTAATCGATTGAAAAGATGAAAGCAAGCAGAAATTTGGAACGAAACGTAACAGAATTAGGAAGTTTAAGAAGACCCGACGGAAGAATCATAACAAGCGTTCATACCCATTTTCACTGTCATTCCTAAGCCCGCTATAATGCACGTAGGTGCAATCATAAAACTTTTAAACCCATGTAACTTCTGTATACTAGGAACCTATTGTAGTGAACCAGGCATCAAGACCACGTTAGCATCTCGCAGCCTAGAGCCTAACAATTGAAGAGGTATGGAATTAACGACGAACATCAATACAGCTACCGCATCCTCTCAGTAAAATGCAATTCGCAGGCTGCTTTCCATTACTGACACGTTCATGATTTATCGGATGATCTGTTAAAACCTCGTAAAAGCGGTCCGACAGCTCGTTTACCAGCTAAAATTTTTTTCACATACAAAGATATATTATCAATAAGAAAAAGCAATAAAAAGTGAAAACAAGTGAAAGTGAACAAACTTTGCTAGTCATTCTCGCATTCTCGGTGTCTTCTGTCGGCTCACACTTTCTCAAGGGCTTACTAGATTATTTTCAAAAATCCACAGATAAATACATCCAATATAGGTTGATATTTGTATGATGTTAGAAATACGCACTTATCCTTTAAAGGATCAGTTCCTGTAATCGTATCCGTTAAGTTGGGACCTCGGACTCTAACACCGCATCTGTGTTTGACAATAGCGAAGACGAATTTAATACGATGATATATAAGTTGGAATATCCTTAATGAGCAACCAGCAGATATGAGTGGAGTCGAAGAAAGTTATGTTACTAACCGATGTTCAGTAGCGTATTTTACTGCAACCGTATGGTTCGGAAACGAAGGTAAAGTTCTAATTGGAAGCCAACAAAAAGGAAAGAACAGTCGCAAATTGTTGGATTAGTCCATCTAACACTTAATTTGGTGGTAAAACAGATTGACAAATGAGGAATTTAGCATCATACATTCCGTCCAAATCTTCACATAGTTTAGGTCCTAACCCTTCAAAATTGCGATCAGCTCGTCGATTGATAACAATCCCGGAGGCTTTATCTAGGACCGCAAAATTGGACTATTTGGCGGATAGTTAGAAATTCGACAAAGATATCGTACAACAAGGAATGAACATGGATATCTGTTATTTTCCCGTAAAGCATCAGAATCAGGTAGTGGAACCTACTTTAAAAGCAATATCCCCCGGTTCCATATCCAATCCAGCACCCATGGATTCATAGGCTCCACGTCCCCGATAATGTCTTTTTTCCGATTCGTAAATAAAGCAATGAAAGAAGGGTCAAGTGAGTTACACATAACTCGACTGCCAAGAATCCAGCATTTGCGAATGAGTCAAAATCCAAATCCTCCGCTCCAACTCTTCGTACAAGGCTTCATAGAAAATCATTATATCCTCGTACATTACTCATCTCACATTACCACGTCAAAAGAATGAATACAAAACGAACATTCTTGGTTCATAACCGAGAAGACTCATGTGTGCAGTATCACTTCCACATGCGAGTCCTGGTTCAACAGGGTCCATTAACCCATTTAAGCCATATTCTGATAACATAGAATGTTTAGTCAAATTTAGTCGTTCAAAATTCAGATCCGCGGTATTGATTCCGAAGTTATGTGGGTCGATCCGTATGGTATGGTAGAGAGCACGGCCGAGGCGGCGAAGGTTGTCCAGCCGTTACAGATAATTTCAAAATCCGGACAAACATATTCCATCGTTAAAAAAGCGGAAAATTATATCATCATTATTTGTATATATTCGTTTGGAAATCCGGTATCGGTTTATCGCGCATCGGTCATGTCGATGGACCGGTTGAGTTGTCACAGATTTCATTCAATATTACGTTCAACCAGATATCATGCAGACGATACGAGGAAAAAAATTCAGAGACAAAAGCAAAGCACAAAAATAATTTAGTATTCCGCTGGAATCTTTCAATAACCTCTGCAGACAAGTAAGGCCTGGGAACATCAATTTCTGTTCTTGCTGCCCGCAGACGGCGGACGTATGACATACCCGCCAAAACATCCATCCAATCCGTTTGTGCACTCTCAAGTGGAGTTCTCCCATCTAAACTGGGTACTGAAACGTCTGCCAGGCCGTCAATAAGAAAGAATAGGAGCTTCTTGTC